CCTCCATGACTCAATCAGTTTCCAGCATTGCCACATTTGGGATCAAATTTCCACATGGGTTTTGGAGGGGACAATACATCCAAACTCCATCATTCCACCCCTGGCCCCCCAAAGCTCATGTCACTCTCACACACAAAATACAATCATTCTATCCCAACAGTCCCAAAAGTTAGCTTGCTCCAGCACCAACTTAAAAGTCCGAAGTCCAAAGTCTCATCTGAGACCAAAAGCAAAAATCTTTCTAGCTGTGAACCTGAAAAAAAAAAAACCCCAAATTTATCTACTGCCAAGATACAATGGTGGAACAGGCATTGGGCACACATTCCCATTCAAAAAAGGAGGAATAGGCCAGAAGAAAGGAAAAACAGGCCCCAAACAAGTCTGAAACCCAGCAGGGCAGACATTATGTCTTAAGCCTCCAAATAATCTTCTTTGACTCCAAGTCCTGCATCCTGGGCACAATTGGGCTTCTGGGCCCCCAAAGCCTCAGGCAGCCTCACTCCCACATTTCTGCCAGGTACAGCCCATTGGGCTGCACTGGTGCCTGCAGCTTTTCCAGGCCAGTGTTGCACATTACCAGTGGCCCTGCAGTTCCAGGGTCCTGGAGACAGCCCCACTGCCTTGGCTGTACTAGACATTTCCCTGGTGGGGGCTCTCTGTGGGGGATCCAACCCCACTTTCCTGCTCGGCATTGCTCTAGTAGATGACCTCTGCGGAGCCTCCGCCCCTGCAGCAGGTCTCTGCCTGGGTCCCCAGGCTTTCCCAGACATCTGGAATCTGGGTGGAGGCTGCCATGCCTCCACTGCTCTCACGTCCTGCCGGCCTGCAGACTTAATATGACGTGGACGCCACCGAGGTTTCGGGCCTCTACTCTCTAGGGCTGCTGCATGAATCACACTTGGGGCCGCTCCAGCCAGAGCAGCTGGGATGAAGGGAGCAGGATCCCGAGGGTAGCTGTGCCCCAGGTCTGTCCTCTAGGACAACTCAGTCCTTCTAGGCCTCAGGGCCTGTGATGGGTGGGCAACCCTTCCAGACTTCTGAAATGCCTTTAGGGCATTTTCCCCATTGTCCTGGTTCTTAGCATCTGGGTGCCTCACCTCCAAGATAATATCTTTAGCAACCAGTTTATCTGCTTCACCCTTGCATTGTTCTCCAGCTCTCCACTTCTTTACCACATGGCCAGGCTGCAAATTTTCCAAACCTTTATGCTCTGCTACCCTTTTAAATTCTGGCTTTACATCATGATTTTGCCACCATAAGTCAGAATAGGCTCTTAAAAGCAACTGTGCAGCTTCCTTAGTGCTTTGCTGCTTAGAAATTTTTTTGGCCAAATGCTCTGGTTCACAACTCTTAAGTTCCAACTTCCACAAAGTCCACGGGCATGGACACAATGCAGCCAGGTTCCTTGCTGTGGTGTAGCAAGAGTGATCTTTTGTCCAATTCCCAATAAGTTCCTCATTCCTATCTGAGACCTCATCATCCGCATGGCCTTTACTGTCCACATTTCTATCAGCATTCTGCTTGCCACCATGTAAGTCTCTAAGACATTCTAAGCTTTCCCTCGTCTTTTTCTCTTCTTCTAAGTCCTCCAAACTCCTCCAACCTTTGCCCATTACCCAGTACCAAAGTTGCATCCACATTTTCAAGTATCTGTTTAGCAACACCCCACTTCTCTGGTACCAATTTTCTGTTTTAGTCTGTTTTGTGTTGCTATAACAGAAATACCTGAGACTGGGTAATTTATAAAGAACAGAGGCTTATTTGGCTTATGACTCTGGGACAGCTGCATCTAGCATGGGCCTCAGGCTGCTTCTACTCATGGTGGAAAAGCGGCAGGCAGCCGGTGGGTACAAGCAGATCACATGGTGAGAGGAAGCAAGAGAGAGGGAGAAGGTGCCAGGGTTTTTTTAAAGCAATGAGCTCTCACAGGAACTAATAGAGCAAGAACTCACTCATTAATCTCCCCTCCCCCAGGGAGAGCATTAATCCACTCATGAGGGATCTGCCCCCATGACTCAATCAGTTTCCGACACTGCTACATTGGAGATCAAATTTCCACATGAGTTTTGGAGGGGACAACACATCCAAACTCCATCAGTTATGATACCTGGAACTATGTAAATATGTTTGCATCTAATGATGTGGACTTAAAGTGTATAGAGCAAAAATTTCAATAACAAGAAGGAAAAATAGAATCACCGGGCTAGGGTTGTAAAAATTTTTCAATAAAAATTGAGAACATTCATAAAAGTAGAACTTCCTCATGCCTAACACTTATCTTCAATGATTACTAACTCCTGGCAAATATTTTTTCCTTTATATTCCCACCTGCTTTCACTTTTACTTTTCCCCCACCACAAATGATTTTGAAGCAAATCCCAGACATTATAACTTAAAGGAAAAAAAACCCTGGCCCGAGCTCAAAAGAAACACACCAGGAGACAGGGACTCAACCAAAGTGTATGAGGCAGGCAAATTGAACAAGCGGGCTGCCCTCTCAGAAGTGGGAGCAGCAGCTGCGAGAGTCGGGCTGGGCCTTTTATATCCAGTCAGGCTGAGCTGGACAGTTCCTATTGGCTAAGAAAGAAGGGGAGGGAAGCCAGCGGGTTTTAAGCTGAGTTGAGTTTTTCTTTTTTTTTTTTGTCTTTTTTTTTTTCGTGTCCAGCAACGGATCGCAACCCTCAGTGTCGCGCCCGTACCAGACCGGGACCGGCAATGGGATCGCAACCCTCGGTGCTGCGCCCGCCCCTCGCTCAGCCAGTGAGTGGGAACCGGTCTGCATGTGGGATCCGAACCCTCGGCGGGAGCGCCGCCGTGCTCCCAAGCGGTGCACTGTAGCAGTGCGCCACCGGGCCGGCCCCGCTGAGTTGAGTTTTTCTATAGGTGGAGAAATTCGTGCACATGGGAAGGGGATGTGGTGGTGAGGAAGAAGGGGGAGGTTTTTTTGTGATTCTTGGAAAACGTGCTGTTCTAGGACCTGAAACTCTCTGCAGCCATTTTGGGTGTTGCTCCCATCTGCCCACCGCCATGTTAGACATCGGCTAAAACATAATTGCCTAACATAACCACTCATCTGTAAATGTGGCAGAATGTACCTTAAGACAAGGAATTTCTTTTCATAGAACCAAGATAACTTTATAACACTTCCCCAGAGCAACAGTCACTAATTAATATCATCAAATACTGTGTTCATAGCTCTCTGATATTTCAATAATTTTGAGGGGTTCATTTGAATTGTCCTATCTTAAAATGTTAACACTTTTGATACAGACCCTTCATATCTCTATTTCTGTTTTACTTTTCTTAGCATTTGCCATCAACATACCAGTACTATGTATTTCACTTATTAGTTTGTTTAGCATCTGTTTGTCCAGTAGAACAATGCTTGGCATAATAATTAGCTACCAATGTAATTGTTAAATAAATAAATAAGTTTGGAGTTTGATAACAAATCCTTTGCTTTGCTATTGCATTATGAGAAGTAAACAAAAATTGATGAACTGGAGCCTTGGGATGCTTGGTTACCCCTGTAACCAACCCCTATTCCTACCTCTCTTGCTCTCTCTCTCTCCCCTCAATGGACATGGATATGTAATGCTTTATATTCAGGTGGAAAAAAAGATAACACCCAACGACAGAAGAGAGCACAAACAGAATTCAATGGCCCACCTCATCCTGCAGACATAAAATCCATTCAAAGATTTCTCTGCCTGTTTTAGAGTTGTATGAGAGCCTTTCCTAAAGCCAATCATAGTTTGCAGATAGATCAACGTGGATGAATTTGGAGAAAATTATGATAAGTGAAATAAGCCAGGCACAGAAAGCAAAATATTGCATGTCCTCACCTATAAGTGGGAGCTAATAAATAAATAAATAAATAAATAAATAAATAAATAAATGAACAAATACATAATAAAAAGAAATACAACCATTACAATAATATGTTGAACTTTCAAAAGAAGAGAACAGAACTGAGGCCACTAGAGGTGGGAAGAGGGAGGGGGAGGGAGGAAAGGGAGGAATTGGTAAAGGGCCATGAAAATCAATTACATCGTATAATGAAGAATATACTAATTATCCTGATTTATACATCACCTGTTGCGTATGGTATTGATATTCAATGCTGCCCCTCACAGATATGTACGGTCAACTATGTCCCAATAGAAAATAAATTTAAATAAATAATCTTTTCCCTTAAAAAAAAGTATGCAGGTGACATCTGGGCATAGCAATCCCTGCCCTGCCCAGGGCTGACATTACAAGGGAGCAGAATTACAAGCTGTTCTCAGCTTGTGTTCTGGAGATTATGGAAAGATCCCCAGCTGTGTTTTGTGATACTCATTCAAAATTATAGTCTGAGCTTTAGAGGTTCAGGTAAAGACCTGAACTTCCAGAACTGGGACATTAGCCCCTCTTCATGAATATTACCATCTGAAGAGGTCCTCTTATATAGTCCAGGGACAGTAGATCGATTTCCCTTGGGGATTCACTTCCGTAGAGGTCTTAAGCTTGGAACACCAGCTGGAGATTTTTAGCAGGTACCTGGGGAAATAAAAGCTGAGGACGGCAGTAGGAGGTAACAGAGGCACTTGGAATGGAGTCGAATACCTACAGTTAGGGCAGCTTCTATATAAAAGAAGTGGGTCCCTTAGGGGTGAAGCTGTCATCAAGGTGATTTACTGAGGCATCTACCATTCCTGGATCATAGTTTGTTCCAGGCAATGATTACCTGGACAGAGGATTAATAATCAGCTCACCAACCCCTCTTACCGACTGCTGATGGTAAGGGAGGGTGAGGACAGAATATCTAACGGAGCGAGCACCAAGGCAGGAGGGACTGGAGGGAGGGAGGGGACAGACAGAAGAGAAGACAACGGGATCCCCACTCTCACCGCTTACCAAGCTCACCTTCAGCGCTTTTGCAGCACGGAGGCGGACCTTTAGCCTGCAGCAGGACTCGCAGCCCGGGGCTGGGCTCCGCGGCTTCTACGGGAGCGAGCATGGCTGGGCGGCGGGCCCTGCTTCTCGTGGGCTTCCTTCTCCCTGGGGTCCTGCTCTCAGAGGCCGCCAAAATCCTGACAGTTTCCACAGTGGGTGAGTGCATGGCCGGAGATGCAGAGACAGGAGCGTCCTGGACACGTGCACCACCAGGGCTCAGGCAAAGACTGCCTGATCAGAGGGTCATCAGCATGGGTTTCCAGGCTGGGCTTGTGTACCTGCTGGAGCGGGGAGAAGCCAGCGCAGTGGGGGGTCAGAGAGGGACCTCTACCGCCAAGGTGGAGAAGATAGTTTTGGAGAAAATAGAGATACTCATTCCTCTGCCTTGCTGTTCACGACGCGTCTCGTATCGCGCGGGACCGGGGCCGAAGTCTGAGACCCAGCCTGGAGCATGACAACCTGGGCTGCCTTCTGCGGGGCGCGGCGGGACATTCAGGGGCTCGCGCTAAACTCCGGGGGGTGGGTGCACAGTAGCTTCTCAGAAACGGTAGCAAGCATTTTTGTGCTCTGAGTGCCAGGGAAAGGTGCTGAGGGCAGCACAGCGAATTTTCTAAAGTGCACCCGGAGCGCAGTGAAGCAGGGAAAGTGTTTCATGATAATAAGGACAGTGGAGTGTTTTCATACACAGAAACCTGGAGAATTGACTAGGACCAAGGAGAGGACCCACCCAGATCAGTAGGATCTTTTGGACTTTCCTCTCCCATTTCCTGTCACCTGAGCTGTTGAATACATATACATATATTTTTATATATATTTAATCTGTTGAGTTATTTTGAAGAATTCTTGGGAATGTAAATTCTGCATTTTGTGGCCACAGTTTTATTTACTTTACTATTGCCCCTAAGAGTATATCAGGATAAAGGGGTCATCCCAAGATGGGGCTCCCTGAAGACTATTTATTTCAACCCAGTAGTGGGCTCTGTTAGATCACTTTTAGATCACTGAGAATCGGGATTGTGGAGCTGGAGGAAAACACACATCATGAAATTCAGCCCCCAAGGTGATTTCCTGAGAGGGAAACTGAGGGTCAGGGAATTGAGGCACGTTTTGCAAGAACACACCAGACCTCCCTGATGGCACACTAGGAATCTACTCAGGGTTTCTCACCCCGGGACCATCTTCTTCATAACTTCCACTCTCAAGTACTTTGCAATGGAGATTTTAAAAATTGTTGATAAAGAAACTATAGTCCATTTGAAACATTTTTCTTTCTGATTGGTAGTAAAAAAGCAAAGAGCTTCCTTACTTCTTGAAAGTTCACTGTCCCCCTTCCTCAACTCCAAGAGGGAGCTGGTGTGGTTTCTGAGGAGCTGGAATTCCCCCCTTTGCCCCAGAATGCCCCTGGCTCACCAAGAACCAGCACGAATAGCTGCAAGTGTGGGGATCCCTCCTCCCTAGCTCCCTGTTCTTACATGCATCAAATAGCAAGCAAGCAGGGTAGGGGATTTGTGCTTTATATATCCCTTCCCACTTCAGACTATTCAAGTCTGGGTATAAGAACCTGAGTCATCCTCAGAGCTTCACGCCGTTTCTCCAGTCTATCCCCTCCCACCACCATCCCAAACTCCTGGCATTTGCCATCAACTTCTCTGCTGATGAGACCCTTAGATTCAAGCAAAGGCTTCGTGTTGGCGCGTGGTCTACGAGAAGACTGGTGTGGTGGAACTTGTGCCTCTTCCAAAGCTTCTCTTTCCTTAGGGTTCTAGGGTTGTGCTAGGATTTCTTAGTCTCTCATGCAACTAAGGTCCAGCAGTTCCTCCCTGTGGGTTCCAAAGTTATCTGAAAGTGTCTTAATTGGAAGTTGAGCATCCTTCAGGCCCAAATTGAGAAACTTTCTGCCAAATACATTTGAATCTCAAGGATTTTGGTTCTAAGTGTTGTCTCCACATTCCTTCTGTTTCAATGGCTGTTTTTTGGACTTGCCTTTTAGTCTTTTTATTTCTGTTCCCTCCAGTAGCATACATTCCCAATGGGAAGGATCCCAGAAATAGCTGAGATTGATTGTTCATTAGGAACCCTTCACACTCAGATGTACAACACCATGCCAAAAGTTCCACCACAGCAGTTATTTCTCTTGGATGCAGAGTCAGCATAAGGCCTTGTACCTTAAGATGAGGATTTCCTAAAGCCTAAGCACAGAGAAGGTCACCACACTGACACGGAGACCATGAGACACAAGAAGGGATCTTTGGTGGAGGATTGCCACAGGGTTAGGATTTGTACAGCTGGGGGTCACCCAGAGGGAGGTGGAGAGAGTGACGAAGCCCATCTTCCTCTATTCACCATCAACTTCCTGTTATCCTACCCTTCCTCTGCTGGATTTATCACCTTACCAACTTCAGACAGTTTGTTTTCACCTTTACAAAGTAAAATTGTGCATTTTTCTTAGGTGGAAGCCATTATCTACTGATGGACCGAGTGTCTCATATTCTTCAAGATCATGGGCATAATGTCACCATGCTTCACCATGGAGGATATTCTTTGATGTCAGGTAGTTTTTTTTTTTTTTCATTAGACCTTGATTTCTCCTACTCCAGTCAACAAGCAAAATGCCTTTTTTAATAAAAAGCTTTAGCAGAATGTTTTTACAATCTAATTAGATTGAAAGAATGAAAAGATGTGTGTGCGTGTGTATGTGCGTGTATTTATGTAAAGTGTTGGAAAGAATCTTATGCTCCGTCTACCAGGACTTCACACTCCATAGTCCCATGTTTTTCTCCCTTACTTGGACTTCTGCTCCATCCCAAGCAACCCTCCTCACATCATTACAGATTATTTTTCTAAATGCTACTTTACAATGTGGCTTAAAAGTATGTTGAACAGGAGTATTTAGCCATATTGAACACTTCTTATATGTAAGGGTCATTTTTTCCTTGTATGTCATAGGCAGAGAAAATCTATAATGTCTAGAGATTGTGTAAATTATCATAAAGTGACTTTTTGTAGAAATATAGGTGTTAATAGCCAAGATGCTATGTATAGTAAAACATGAGAGAAAAAAGATAAGTTAAGGAAAGAACTATAAAACAAAAAAGAACCAGGACTTCATGATTTGAGAAATTCTCAGCCTATTAGGATTGCAAAAGATTCTATAATCAGGAAATTCAATGTCAGGAAAGCAATTAATCCTTTTTACTTGCACAGAAAGCCAATTGTGTGGCTGGACAACTTGTTGCTACTACTCCCTCTGAAGGATTAAAAGATCAGGGTATTCAGTAACACACAAGACTCCTTGAACAGATTGGTGTGAAGCAGTTTTACTGTGCATTGGTTACCAACTTGTCTGAATGCAGTGAGACTGGACACACTCATACACAACAAGTTACATGAAATGGATTTATTATTTACAGATAGGCAACAGGGACAACAGAAGCATAGGATTCACTGTGAACCAGTCCCCCAAGGCTGTAGTGGGCCACCCACATGGAGGTGATGTTTTCGGCATGCTCCTTGGTGCTGGTGGTGTGCCTGGTTGTGGGGTGTGTCTGGACCCCAGCTTCATGCCTCACGTCCCCAGGCAGGCCTTGAGGGGATGGTGCTCACTGTGTGCCTGGTTGTGGGAGGGGGGTCTGGTCCCCTTCACCATCCCTCAGGTCCCTGGGCAGGCCCTGAGGTGCTGGCATGGTGTGCCTGATTATGGGGGGGGGGTCTGGTCCATGGATCCATGCCCTGGGCCCCTAGGCAGGGCCATGAAGTGCGGGTGTGGTGTGCCTGGTTGCAGGAGGGGGGTCCAGTCCCCAGATCCATGCCTCAGGTCCCTCGGCAGGTCCCAAGGTGCTGGTGCAGTGTGCCTTGTTGTGGGATGGGGGTCCAGTCCCCACTCCAAGCCTCAGGTCCCCAGGTGGGCCCTGAGGTGCTTGCACAGTGTGCCTGGTTGTGGGAGGGGAGTCTGGTCCCTTTCTCCATGCCTCAGGTCCCTGGGAAGGCCCCAAGGCACTGGCACAGTGTGCCTGGTTGTGGGAGGGCAGTCCAATCCCTCCCTGGCTCCATACCCTGGGTCCCCAGGCGGGGCCCCAAGGCACTGGCAGTATGCCTGGATGTGGGAGTGGTGTCTGGTCCCTGGATCCAAGCCTCCAGTTCCCAGGCAGGCCCCAAGGCGCTGTTAGTGTACCTGGGCCAGAACTAATTTGTTTTCCTTTGCTTACTTCTAAAATGGGGGAACTTCCTGTGGGAACCAGTACTTGAGCTATGTGGTTGAGCTAAATTGCTGCTTTGCTGCTGTTTCCCTAGGGAAGGCTTTTTGTGCAGCTCAGGGTTTAATGGTTGACTTGCAGGTACTTCTGGCTCACCAGAGACCTGGTGGATATAGGTTGTGTAGAAACTCTGATCTGGGCCTGAGTTTTTTCATCCAATTGTACCCTGTACAATTCTGCATTCCTGACCAGTCTCCTCTGAGTGGTCCTGTGCTGATTGGGGTCAGGTCAGCTGTCCGTGCTGTGTCCCAGTGTTCTCCTGGTGGGCCTGTCTCCCCCACTGTCCGTGCTCCAAACACTTCCCATGGGATGGGTCCTGCGCAGGTCCCTTGCAATGACTCACTGGCCTCTGAATGGCTCCATTTTTTCAGTTGTTCTGGCTCCTTGCTCCTGTGTGGGTCCACAAGAACCCTATTAGTGGTCTTGTTGTCTTGGGGGCTGTCAAGGCCCTCTTCTCCCCTGCTGCCTCCTAGTAACTCCATCTGAATGGCACAGCTGTGGCATCTGCTGGCTCCTGCTCCATGTGCTCATCAGCTCCAGCCTTAAAGCAGCTGTGGCCTGAAACCCTCAGAGCAGATTTTTCTTTCTCTCATTGTGGGTTCTCCCCCTTCATGAACTCTGTGGGTCTCTCCTCCTCTTCCCCTGAGCTTTAGCAGCCCCAGCTTGGCTGATGTTACATTTTTATAGTTGTAAATTGGTTGATTTGTGGGAGAGTGACACTGGGAATTGTCTATTCCATCATCTTGACTGGAACTCCCCCATTTGCATTTCTGATTTTATTTATTTGGGTCTTTTCTCTTTTTTTCTTTGTTAGTCTGGCTATTGATGTTAACTTTCCAAAAAAGCCAACTTTTCATTTGATTGATCTTTTGTATTGTATTTTTAGTATCAATTTCATTTATTTCTGTCCTGATTTTTATTATTTCTTTTCTGCTACTTATTTTTGGTTTGGTTTGTTTTGCTTTTCTAGTTCCTTAAGGTGCATTGTTAGATTTTAAATAAATAACCTATTTATTTTTTTGATGTAGATGTTTATTGCTATAAACTTTTCTCTTAATACTTCCTTGTATGTATCCCATAGGTTTTGGTATATTGTGTTTCTGTCTTCATTAGCTTCAAGAAATTTTCCAATTTCCTTCTTAATCTCTTCTTTGACCCATTGGTCATTCAAGAGTGTGTTGTTTAATTTCCATGTATTTGCATGGCTTGAAAGTTCCTCTTGGTATTGATTTCTGGTTTTATTCTGTTATGGTCAGAGAAAATGCTCATTTGATTTTGATTTTTTGCACTTGTTGAAATTTGCTTTATTGTCTAACATATGGTCAGTCCAGGAGAATGTTCTATGTGCTGATGAAAAGAATGTGTATTCTGAGGCTGTTGGATGAAATGTTCTGTGTATGTCTGTTGAATCCTCCTGGTCTATGGTGCCATTTAAATATGCTGTATCCTTGTTGATTTTCTGTCTTGATGATCTGTCTAATGCTGAGAGTGGGGTGTGAAAGTCCCCACTGTGTTGATTATCTATCTTTATTAGATATTACTGTGTTCATATTTCTCTCTCCCTTGTTAAAGTCTCCACTGTGTTGATTATCTATCTTTGTAAGATGATTTTCTATTTTAGATATTACTGTGTTAATATCTATCCCTCCCTTTAGATCTTATAATATTTGCTTTATATAACCAGGTGCTCTTGTGTTGGGTGTATACATATTTATAATTGTTATATTCTCTTGCTGTATCAATCCCTGTATCATTACATAATGCCCTTCTTTGTCTCTTAGTACAGATTTTGATTTAAAGTTTGTTCTATCTGCTAAAAGTATAACTACTCCTGCTCACTTTTGTTTACCATTTGCATGGAATATCTTTTTCCAACCCTTCACTTTTAATCTATGTGTGTCTTTGTAGGTAAGGTGAGCTTCTTGTAGGCAGTATATGGATGGGTCATGTTTTTTAATCCATTTAGCCAGGCTATGTCTTTTAATCGGGGCATTTAATCCAGTTACATTCAAGGTTATTATTGGTATATGAAGTCTTATTGTCATCATTTTGTTGGTTGTTTTCTGATTGTTTTGTGTATCTTTTGTTTCTTTCTTCCTCTCTTATTGTTCATCCTTGTGGTTTGGTAATTTTCTCTGTTGATAAGGTTCGATTCCTTCCTCTTTCTAATTTGTATATCTACTCTACCAGTAGGTTTTATATTTTCAGGTGTTTTTGTAATGGTTATTATTGTTCCTTCTCTTCTAAATGTAGGACTTCCTTAAGCATTATTTGTAAGGCTGGTATAGTGGTGATGAATTCTCTTATTTTTTGCTTGTCTGAGAAAGACTTTATTTCTCCTTCATTTCTGAAGGATAGCTTTGCTTGGTATTATTTTCTTGGCTGGCAGGTTTTTTTTTTTCAATACTTTGAATATAGTATCCTATTCTCTCCTGGCCTGTAGGGTTTCTGCTGAGAAGTCTGCTGTTAGTCTAATGGGAATTCCTTTATAAGTGGCTTGACATTTTTCTCTTCCTGTGTTTATAATTATCTCTTTGTCTTCAACTTCATATAGTTTGACTCCGGTGTGTCTTAGAGAGGACCTATTTGGGTTGAATCTATTTGGGGACCTTTGAGCTTCCTGGACTAGGATGTTCATATCTTTCCCAAGACTAGGGAGTTTTTCACCTATCATTTCATTAAATAGTTTTCACATCTTGTTTTGTTTTCTTCTCCTGGAATGTGCATAATTCAAACTTTTGTTTGTTTAATAGTATCCCGTTGATCTTGTAGGCTTTATTCATTCTTTTCTATCTTGTTCCTTTTTCTTTTGTCTTTCTGTGTTATTTCAAAACTGCTATATTCAGGATTAGGAATTCTTTCTTTGGGGACTGGCTGGTTAGCTCAGTTGTTTAGAGTGCAGTGTTATAACACCAAGGTCAAAGGTTTGGATCTCCCAATACTGACCAGATACCAAAAAAACCAAAAAACAAAAACAAAACCCCCAAAATAAGGAGTGGACCAGCCAGCCACCAGGAAAAAAAGAAAAAAATTAAATAAAAATTCTTTCTTCTGCTTGATCTAGTATGTTGTTTAGACCCTCAGATGTATATTTTATTTCATTCAATGAATTCTTCAATTCCAAGATTTCTGTTTGATTATTAAAAATATCTATCTCTTTGTTGATTTTCATTTAGTTCATGAATTATTTTTCTGATTTTGTTGAATTACTTGTTTATATTCTCTTGTATCTCAGTGAGTTTCCTTAATATAATTAATTTGAATTTCTTTCTGGCAACTTGGCAATTTCCATTTTTTT